AGCGTCCGTTCAGTAGCTGCTCTGCGTACAGCATCCATGCGAGTCCGCAACTGCACTTAAAACGGAATACTGACAGTTCACCAGTTATAACTGAATTCCTGATCAATGTTAACCATGTAGTCATGGCGTTCAATCTGCAGCCTCCAGATTGCTGTACACCGTCTGAACAATGACTCCAACATGGAGTGAACGAGCAGCTGTTTAGATTGTTGAAAGGGCGTACCAAAAACCACTCTGAATTCGGATGAACGCTGCGAGATGATCAGGGTTTACTATAGCCCCTTGCTGATACATCGAAGCCCATCCAGGCTTCGTCACTGAACACTTCTGTTCTAAACTGAAGTGTCTTCAGGGCGCCACTTTTATATACTACTATCAGTACTACTACTACCACTACTGCTTCTATTACTACTACTACTTCTGTTACTACTAATATTACTACTACTACCACTACCACTACTAGTACTACTACTACTACTACTAGTACTACTACTACTACTACTACTACTACTACTGATACTACTACTACCACTACTGCTACTACTACTACTACTAATAATAATAATAATAATAAAACCAACGGGGTAATGCTATTGGTGTGGAACCGAAAAACCGGGCTATTTGCGCATTTTAATGTGGGTACTTTGAAGACAAACAGTAGATCAGCCCAATTTTACTTTTCCCTTGGACATGTAGGTACTCATGTTCTCCGGGAGGGCAGCAGTCAGCTAAATTAGTGTCTCAAAAATCTGCAAGTTTTGCGAAGGGTTCATGTGACTGGTCTAAAGTGAAACAAGTTAGCATATTTACCTTGAGACTAAACATGGGGAACGAGAGAAGCGAATGCCCACTAAGCAATTGTGAGGTCGGTAGGTAATTTGGCGGCTTACAAGGAAACAAGAGTAAGTTATTAGGAAAAGGCCATTCTACATAATGCCAATGTATTTACATTTTATATCTTATTTCTGTTCTTGTTGGTTTAAACAAAAGAACGACCTTAAGAAAAATGACTGCGGTTAACGACCTCCGATTAGCTGTCTGTCCTGGCAGTGTTCACAGGATTCTTTCTCGCTGGATTTCTCCTTGTAGTTTAATTATTTCGTAGAAAGTACGATCTCATTAACTTTCGTCGCTCATTCTGAAATTTTCGGACTTTGTATACTAGCGTATCTCCGTTTAATTTCGGATATCTTACTGTCGCATCATGCCCCATAAATGGTCGCGATTTTGGTCTCCGGCTACTCATATAGCAGACGCAATCTCCTAGCAATGCCTGTTCCAAGGTTGTCGGAAACCGAACAATTACACTCTCATGTGTTATATGTTATGTTAAATGTTACATTTCCTGCATTGGATGGAGCGTTTCCGGCGTAAAGTTCAAGATGATTTCATCCAAATTTTGTACCAGAATTGTCGAAACAAGATACAGCTGAAGAAAGCAGAACAGAATCGTAGGCCGACTTGTAGGCCGAATGATTCCGTTGAAAACGGCTCCGCCTATTTGGCCAAACGAGATGGCCCGAAGCGTCTCTAACTTTCGTACAAGCTTTTCTGATTGTCCTGTGCTAACTCAAGGGCACGAAGTCCCGCTGTTGTAAGCAGCCCAGTTTCACTTGACACGTATCATTGACCTGTGTTGTGTCCTACGGGAATAGATGTCCCAGCGTGTCAAAATTTGTACAGAAGACCCGGGGAAAGTACAAAGGGAGAAAAATAACGAGAAAACGAGAAGTTAGATTGTTGCAAATCAACAGCCAGCCAAGCCGCATGAAGCTCGGACTAGCTCTCGCTCTACAAAGTCAACCTTGGTCGGCAAGAAGATTTTTAACTACGTGATCCTCCACGCGCTTGATTTTCGTGATCCAACTTCCTGAATACGCTACGCCCACGACGTCGTGTTTTTACAGAGCCTAATTGATAGACTCCTGAACTCGGGTGAGGACACAATGAAGATGAGACAAATTTCCCGCCTTGTAAAGAAAGAGGAACCACAACCTTGTAAAATTTCGAGTCGTTTCCAAGATTCTACTAAGTAGGATAAATAAGTTATTCACACTTCATGCACACCCAGTGAGTCTTGCTGTGATCTGCGTTTGCCGTCTTATGAATAAGCGTGATGAACTTTTTCTTCTTATTACCTCTAAGAGGCCAGTAGTGGGACACGTAGAAACGTAACTGAATTCTGAGGCGATCATCCAGGAGATCGACCTCAGTGGCTATTTGTGCTTCCGCTGCGATAGACTGTCGACAGCCCGCGGTGGCATCTGTGTGGGAGACTTATGATTGTATGTAGAAGCAACCATAACCTGTGTGAGCAGCTGTTGTGCTGCTGTTTGTATTGACTGCTGCAGCTTCGAAGCCACATGAGTCATTCCCATTTCCTACTCATGGGTGTTTTTAATTGTTCTCGAGTACGTTGCTTTCAAGTCCAGCTCCTGCCCGGATATTACGTGGTGGAAGCAAACTGCGTGGACTGAAACTACCCAGCACATATACCAGCTGACATGGATAGAGACTTGTACAACTCTGCCGTGCCTAGACTTGATGTTAACTAGCTGTGAGCAACATGTGTATGGTGTTCGGATCCTGGAGCCCCTGACAGGAAGCGACCATTCAGTGCTCATAGGTAGTATGTAGCTAGTCTCACAGTGTTCCCGTCCGCTGGAGCCAGCTTACAACTACTTGGAAACGGACTTTGACTATGTTTATCGAGCCAAATGGATTGGTCTCTGATTCAATCTGCATATGTGCATGGCAGCTGAACCATTATAAAAGGGGAGTGACATTGCTGCATTCTCGGTTTGTATCACTGAGGTGTCGGAAAGGTGGACTAATCAAACCATATCGGCTCAAAAGGAGTATGGTAAAGTTGCTCGGCGGCAGCGTAGACTGAGACAATTCCTCCTCCCCGGCTTTTCCAACAACTGTGAAACATATAACAAACAACGAAATGTTTGTAGCAGTGCAAAAACAATCAAGCGTTGGAATTCCGAAGGGCAGCTCACGAATGCCGCAAGAAAGAAATTGTGCCTAGGTGAAGCGGCGGCCAAAACCTTCAGTTGTTAAGAAACTCGACGGTTTGGATTGCGGTGTTCATGAGGTGCGTCAACTACTCGTCAAGACAACACCAAACTTTTTGGTCCTGAGGGACTCCATTGATCGCTTCTCATGTCCCTATCAGCCATCTTTTCACCTGTTGTGACTGACTTACTTAATAGGTCTCTGTTAGAAGTTTCATTCCTACTCGACTGGAAATGCTATGTATTAAAGCTGATTCCGGAAGGCGGTAATCCCAGCAAAGTGGACAAATACTGGCCAATTTGCCCGACGTCTATTTAGACCATGGTTACCTAGAAGATCGTGATGAATGGTCTGCTACAGCTGCTCCAAGCAAAGCTCTACTGAAGCTTGCAAATCACGATTGTATATCAGGCAGTTCATTCATTACTAACCTGCTGCTGACGAGGCGTTAATGATTGTAGGCAATGAACCAAAGGAATTTTATCGAGGCAATCTCTAACGATTTCATTAAGACATCCGACAAAGTAACCCATGTGGTCCTCCTCCACAACCTGAGAGTGTGCGCTCTTGGTCCATCACTGCTCCAAAGGATCCAGGGATTTCTCCTTGGACGAAAGCGGAGGATACGGGTAGACCGCTAACTGGTGGGTATTCGTCTACTGGTTGCTTACCCTAGCCCTAGTACTGGGGGCCACTCTTTTCCTAATCCAAATCAACAATTTACCTCAGTCTCTTCGGTCACCTTGTTCCCTTTTTGGGGACAGTCTAAGGATTTGGAGAGTGAATCGCACCCCCCCCCCCAGTGACTGTGGCCTACTTCAGTAAGACTTCAATCGCTTCTACATGTGCTCCGCATAAGTCTGTGTCTCGGTCAACCCATTCAAGCCGGTATTCATGAGTCTGGGGAGGGCTGGTGGCGGTCGAACTTACATCTTCAACAACCAACGGCCACACATCTCGTAAAGGACCCAGGTGTTTTCTCGCGCTGAGAGTGTATCATAACGGACCGCGCATGCTTTCGGCTCTTAGATGCAGCTTCTGTACTTTGTATTCAGAGGCCGCCACTCGCCTCTTTCCTGCCACCATAAGACCAATGCTGAGAGGAGAGCCACAGAAGATCGAACGAGTTCAAAACCATGTTATAAGAGTCATTCCAAGTTTATGAAGATTACTGTATGAAGACCGGTGCGAGAAACTAGGAGTTTATACTTCGTCCTATCCTCGGGGCTAGTCGACTTTGTCACGACCTTCCGCATATTACGTCTCGGTAACTTCCTCATGCTGAGGCCGCTGCTCCGATTGCGAACACCATACAACATACGCGGACACCGTTGCAAGTTTCTGGTGCCGGAAGTGAAACTTGATCCCCACCATCTGTGCTTCGAACGGAGAATGATACGTGTTTTGATAGATTCTAACAGAACATGTAGTAGAAATCGAATCTGTGCAGCAGATCAAACCTTTTGAACTTAGATTTTGCGCCCATCCGATTCAGAGAACGATTACACAATGACAGTGAGGTCTCACATTTGTGAGCTCAGTGATACTATATGTCAGACATTTTGTAAGTTACATAAGAACTTGAAGCACGAGTAGAGTAACAGCAAGTGAGAGGTACTTTGTATAACATTTATGATCAAATTTCGATGGAATTGTACAGATTTAAATTTCCACTCGGAGCCACGTTAGGTTACTAAGTATTCAATATAGTTTATGAAACTCCAGTTTCTGCCTTGGCCATGGATGTCATTACTAGCATACAGAAGACTCGTGGCCCGACTTAACAGGAGCTCCCTGAACTAATCTGTTTGTGTTTTGTTAGTACCAGTCTACTTCTATGATATGCTTAAGTAGCGAGTGGAGAGAACACCACCTCGTCATAAACATCGGATTATGTTTAAAACAATTTTTATAGCGATTATTCGGTCTCTTACAAGCACCAGATTATCTATTGTATACCCATCTTTCAATCGTTTCAGCGCCAACCACTTCGGGCCGATGTGGTGGGGTCTATGGCTCATGGACCTGTTCTGCTTTATGTGTCTACTCCGATCAGCGATACTCCAGGTCACTCTGTCCCGCACGTTCCCAGACGAACTTTCTCTACTGGATCGTGTATATGTTAATTTTGAAAACAAGAACTTACATTCGCTCAGACACTTTAAACCCCGGATTCGCCCCATCAGATCCGCTTCCAGCTTATCACAATTGGCCGATCCGTTTAAGCCGGTTGATACCGCAGAGGTTAGGAGACACGAATCACCACCCCAGTTAACCAGTGACGTGGCAGTAGCCGAGCGGTCAGGAAAAGCAGGACAGCCTGTGAAATACCATACGGCTTTTAATGCACCGATTACACTGCGGAACGGCGACGGCAACGTTGTGGGAGAGCCGGAACACTCCCTCCGACCGGAAAAGTGTGTGCCTATTGAGATTCCGCTGTGTAAGAACATTGGGTACAACCTGACTTACATGCCTAATGCATTTCACCACGAAACTCAAGAGGAGGCCGGACTGGAAGTAAGTCCGTGTGTATTTGTGCTTGTGTGTGTGTACAGTTGCTTCTAAATATGTTGGTGAAATATACTGTATAGTTTGTCACCAGTTGGCCTACGCCAAGATTAGATCAGTCATGGATAGTGGGTTGTAAAGCTCACCCATCAAGCGCACGGAAATCAATCTGGTCCGTCATCTCATACTCCATGGGAGCCACTAGTTTAGACCGCTACTTTTTCTTCGTTTCGGTGCCGATTGCCTGGGCTTTCTCGTATGCTTCTAAGGTGAATCACTTATAATGTCATACTTGAGTATTGTAGCAAAAACATGTGGTACTTTTTATTGTTTGTGTCTGAATTTTTGCGATCGCACTTTGCTATTAATATGTGCATACAAAAATTTGCACAAGACTTTTATCGCAACTATAATGCCATATGAGATCTGCGGACATTTGCTTCCCTTCTAACTGATACGGCATTCTCGCAGACAACATTGAAAAGTTCGCATGCATTTAGCTTTTTTAGAGAAACTGAATTTAAACGGTTGAATACGGAAAGCTGACCAATTAGGACGAAACCTCAATTCCTAAAACGAATGTGGGATGTGGTGTACCTGTTCTAAGCTCCACAATCATTTTTCGGGTACTCCCAGAGTTCCATGTGGAGCTAATTTATTCCAGCTGCAATGGCAGTTTCCCTATCAATACATGTATCAGTGTCACACAGATGTAATATAAAATAGCCACTTCATTAGAACGTAAATTCAGCTAAGCCTACGAAAATATTTGTGGCGAATGACTGTTACTGTACCATCACCTTCACCCATTCCCGTCCGCATGGGGTGTCGTTCGAATTCGGCTGTTTGGAAAATATCAGATTTATTCAGGCCTCTTTTCGGATACCAGCTCGTCATGACTCACCTAGTGAACCCAGTTCTCCGACTGGTCTTGAAACACATTCAAAGTAAGTTAAAGCACTGAGTTCCCTGTGTTATTCTAACTAAGACAATGAGAAGACTTGTATTGCGAGACGGAACCATTTCGTGTTATTTGCTCACTCGCGAATCACGTGCCAGAAAAATCGAAGGTTTGAAACTGGTCACAAAGTGCACAGTCTAAAAGTGAACTTATGTACACGCAAGAATAACAACAGATCGACCAAGTTGACCTTAGGGTCATGAGTCCCAAAGAAGCTTAGGGAAACTGTTAATTGTTTCTGTGCACAAAGGATAGGGCGATGCCGGTTAAGTACCACAGCTTCAGCGAAGCTCAAAACTTTGGGGTTTTCATTTCAATAGATAACTGTAAATGTTGACCTAGGATCAACGCGATGGCCTGTTTCGATTAGATGTCTGACGATAGATGATGCCGGCAGCTTAGCTACTTTTTCTTATTCGGTTTTGTTGTGTCGATATTTTAGCAATCCGTTTTGGGATATGCTCTCCAATGCTCTTACTCAAGCAACGATCTGTTCTGTCAATGTAGCCACTTCCGCAGTTACAAATGAAGTGGTAAGTACAATGGGTTGTGGTTGAAATCGGTTGAGTAGGCTTCACTGAAGGCATAGGCAGCTTCCTGGTCTCCCAAATGGGGCAGCATTTGGCGGTATTGCATGTCCGGCGAATCGCTGTATGCAAAGGTCTTTCAAGTTGGGCCGCCACGATAACACCTTTGAAAGGTAATTTAAGGTAGACAGACACTTTGGGATCAGTAAGTACCCTCGGTCTGTTTTCCTTCAGTTGACTGCGAAATCGAATAAACGCCTCTGGATATCCGTTGGCCCTTAACATCTGTGTGATGAACAGTAATTCCGATTCTAAACAATCATAAGTCCCTATGCTGCGGGCTCGATTAAACAGCGTCTTGATTAAGCCAACTAGGGTTGATCTCGATCCACTGCCTTGAAAACACGCCCGCTGCTCCACGCAGGTTTTAGGATAAACCAGAACGTCTTCTTGAGCATTCCTAGTGAATGAAAGCACGGATGCCGTTACTCATTCCTTAGGTATAACAAATTCAACACGCTCCTACTCACTTGTGAACCTAACATGAACCAGCTGCGTGTTCCACTCGCACGCGTTCGGTACCCACGTGATGGTCCTATGTCCTTCATGAATGTATAACGAGTCGACTGTATATACTGGGGACCCCATATAGTTCTCTTCTGCTTGGCATGATAGAACGAGGGATTAATTTTATTGGACCTGATGGTAGCTTATTGTATCCACTCTCAGAGTTATGAGTTACATGCTTCTTGCGTTGCTGTGAATTCCGCCAGTTAAGCTCTTTCAATCAGTAGCGCAAGTAAATAGCTGTGTGGCTTCCCATATTACTATTTTTGGCTGATTTAAGCGGTGCTTGATAAGCGACAGAAAGTGGCAAAACATTTGTTAAAATTCCTTTCCGGTCAGACACCGAACATTCATTTTGCACAAGTCCATTTTCCACGGACGCCAGGCGCCATAATAATTGGTCACGTACATAATACTTCTATAAACTGGATTAATACACCAAAACGAACAAGTCTTCATCAATTATTGCGTAGATGCACGATTCACGGTTGTCTTCTGTTGTTCTAAATTGTTACGCTGGAACACATGTGGCATTCACTACCTGTCCGCTCCAACAGCTGTGCATCTGGAGAACCGGTTCCGCTGATCCTACGAATGGTGTCATAACAGGGCACCATTCACGACACTTACCCATACGGACCGCCGTACCATATATATTCAGCCCGAAATATGGGCTGTATGTGTTCCACAGGCAATGTGAATTCCAAGCTTTCGAAACAATGCATCGGTTAACAGCCCATAAGAGCGATGGTTTTTTGAGTCTACTACTGATGTTGTCATGAAGGATGAACTCGGTCATCAAAACAGAATTGTTTGGAGGATGATAGTGAGCTTATTGCGACTAGTTAGAGCCATTTTACTACCACCTGCTTGTCGCAGATGAAAATGAAGACAAACTACACCACCAATCCCCCAACAACTTATGTGTTCAGAACTATGAGCCTTACGCATCTGCACCCTTGACCAACTAATCCGATGATGGACTGGGTAAAATAACACTACTCACGAGGATATATAATTTTGTATAAAAATCTTTAGATATGATGGGAAGGGAGATACACTTAATGCACCGCGTCGTTCGGTTTTCGATTTAACCAGTTACCACAGTTAAGTCGGTCATGTGACTGATTCCCAAGTTATGGAATGTGCGAGGTCATAAAAATGTACACACAAACCTCAATAAGCCCACATCTGCAACCGCGAATTAAAAATGCACTCCAGCACAGACTTGGTCAGCCACCATATTCTCCCGATATTGACTGCATGCTAAACCTACTGACGAGTACGAAGTACTCCAATCCAATTGATAGACGTTTATAGCTTACTCGCTAATGTAGGCCACACTTAGTGGTTTCTTGACGGAGAGGCACGGTGGCAATTCATTTGGACCGTCAAAGAGTGAGAAAGACCACACAAATTGATCTGCTGCGGTACGACACTGCTGGTTCGTGGAGAATGCGTGCGGCGCCATTCAGGGACGCTTCCACACATGTTTGCTGTATAGTCACAGGGATGGTGAAAGCTTAAACATGAGGTATTCGCACTTTTCATTGAAATTCGTAGCGTGTGAAGTGTACCGAGTTTGGATTAACATATCGCGTTCCAGGATTACCACATCGGAGTGTATTTGTTGGTTGTTCTGTATCCGCACTGCTTGATGGGCTCACTAGCCTTGCATGAGAACGGCGATCCACCATGGCTTGGAAAGACGCATGGTGGCTGCTATGTTGCATCATCTTGCTTGCATTGGTATAGGTATTGACCCGAACGGGTCAACATTTTTTGTTAATAATGCAACTTCTCTCCAAGTATCACGCGAATTGCATCCAATGAGGGCAGTCCACAGCAGCAGAGGTTGCGTTGTGGCCAAACTATACACATTCCCCGAATGCATGTGTGGACCATATAGCTGAGCTGTTACGCGTCCGTAATGGCTGATTCAATGCGCATTTTTGGCTGCCTGCGTAAACCAAAGACAAGGAGCTGTTTTAATCATTTACGTGATCAAAGCTGGAGATTGGGTGCTTATGAGCGACGTTGTAGCCGCTTTACACAATAAAGATCGCACAGATAGGTCGATTCTTGCTTCATAGGACAGTCAAATGCTCCAATGCGCGCCAGCCTCATCGGCTACAATGAGCGATGAAGTTAGTAGCGGAACACCGGGATTGTGAACGCAAGTTGTAGTCTTCTTTACTTATTACTTTGCTGCTTGACTGGATTCCGGTCCAGCAGAGTTCCAGCTGGATAATATTCGGATCTTCATCAGAGCCATCGCAACCCGCTGCGCCTAGCTAGCACTGCAGGGCGCCACTTTGTCTTCAAGATCAAGCTTTTCGATCCGACCCTCAGCGGGAAAGCGTGTAGTAGAAGGGAATGGGCTAAGGGAGTAGGCAAGTTAACCGGACCGCCTCGATTGTGCGCCACACTCACTGCACAGCACGGAGCCGCAAGAACCCCTGTGGTGCGGCACATCGCTATGCACTGCATTAAAGCTGAGTGATGGGTTTGATGGGACAGTTGTTAGATTGGTGGGTCAGACCACATCCCTGTTCGCGCAGCATGTCTAACACGGGTGGAGAGGCAACCCTGGTACACTAAGTAGTGGTGGTGGTGTTGGATGTGTCAGCTGGGCTACGGTTATCGCAGAGAAGAATGTTACCAGGGTGCGGTTGCCTCGTGTTCATTTTGGCAGCGTGTGCGCCACGCCTACTTGGGGCTGGTGAGCAGAGACGCTTACAGACTGATTGACAGCAAGGCTTGGAAATGGGGATTTCATGGGAAGAAAGGAGGCTTTTCTTGCCTCCATCATCTCAAACAGGATGCTGTCGAGCCGCAGTCTTACTGCGTTTTTCCTTTTAATTGTGGTTAGCTCCACTCTACTTTACACGACACGATACCGATTTGCAGCACCGTCAGTGTGCAGTGATTTCGGGATATCTGTGAGCTGGTAG